TGCTTGGGAGGGTGGAAGGACGGGGCAGAAGGGGAAGACCCTCTATGAGATGGATTGATTCGGTGACTGGGGTAATCGGGATGGGTGTGTCGGAGGCAGTGCGGTTGGCACAGGATAGAGCAGGGTTTAGGGCTGTTGTGCATAGGGTCGCTATGAGTCGCAAACGACTCGACGGCACCTAACAACAACAACAACAATGTATATATTCTAATTCACCATGTGCTCCATGCAAGAAAGATGAGACTCTCCTCCTGTGCAATTTATTGCCTCTGAAAACACAATGGAGGGACAGCTAATGATCAGTTTTGACTTGATGGTATATAATAACACAGCAATAACAATGTATATATTTAAAAATTAAACCAAACTCACTGCTGTTGACTCAAAAGTATGGTGACCCGCCATCAGATTTCAAAGACTAGAAATCTATTTGGAAAGAGACCATCTATATATTTTCCTAAGAGCAATTAGAGGATTCAAACCACTGACATCCTAGTTAGCAGTCCAACATATAATGTACTATTCTGCCAAGATTCTTTGTATATGAAGATATTGTTGTTAGGTGCCCTTAAGTTAACAACTCATAGTAGCCCTTAAAACAATACTCTGCACCACAACAAGATAAAGATAAATAATCTAATAGAAAAATGGGCACAGGATATGAACAGACATTTTACCAAAGAAGACATTATGATGGCTAACAAGCACATAAAGAAATGTTCAAAATCCCTAGCTCTCACAGAGATACAAATCAGAACAACTATGAGGTATCATCTCACCCCAGTCAGAATAGTAAAATTTAACAGAACAGCAAGCAACAAATGAAGGCAAGGTTGTGGAGAAACTGGAACCCTTATTCACTGTTGGTGGCAGTGTAAAATGGTGCAACCACTGTGGAAGGCAGTATGGCGCTTTCTCAAAATGTTGCAAATAGAGATCCATTTGACCCAGCAATTCCACTACTGGGAATATATCCCAAAGAGACCATAACTGACATCCAAACAGATATATGCACACCCATGTTTATTGCGGCTTTGTTCACAAGAGCAAGGAGCTGGAAACAACCTAAGTGTCCATCAACAAATGAATGGATAGAGAAGCTGTGGTATAATCATACAATGGAATACATTGAAAAACAAGGAACTCATGCAATATTATTCAAAATGGGTGACCCTAGAGGACATTATGCTGGGTGAAGTATCTCAGTCACAAAAGGACAAATACTGCATGGTGCCACTGTTGTAAAACAGGACTGACATTGG